TATGGAGTTGCGCCACTACCAATAAGAACTCATTCCACTACTGGCCTGTACATTGGGTCGGAAGGTGAGAACCTAGATCCATCATGAGCCATTGCCTGTGGAGTATTTTGGTAGTATACCAAACTTCTTACACAAAGACATTTCCGAGAATGTTCGTCGCTTTTCTTTGTTTCAAGTGTCATCCAGCATTTCACTTCAATAACAGGGACCAAGACAGACGGGATCTCCACCCAACTTAGCAAAAGACCCCAACTTAAGATTCAAATGTCAGGCTTGAGCGCGATTCCCAAATTCAGTTCTCTTCACTCAGCAATGAGAGCTCGGCGGTCCTTGCGTTGGAGTGGCTGCCCTAGTCTTTAGTACTGATACAGTATGCGTTGAAATACTACCCACAGTATAATGGCACGGTGGAGCTTGGGAAGAACCGATCGATGAAAGCGTTTTCCCTCAGAGGGTTTTTGAATTGCGCGGACTGCATTGCCTTTTAGCCTGCCACGGCGTCAAGTCATGATGGTACTTTATACATTACAACATAGAGTACGTTTTGTTGAGAGTGCATACCATGGAGCTATGAGGACTTTAGCTTGGTTTAACCCTACGAAAGCTGTTATTTACTAAGCAAATGCTGCCTTTGCCGAAGGAAGGCTGATTTGTGATTCAGACAGTATTCGCAAGCGCGAACATGGCCTGTCGTTAATTTTTTAATTTAATTTTAATCCACCTTCAGCTAATTGACACCTCCTACCTTGACAACCAAGTCTTATATTCTGGCTTGACAAATTCTCCGTTCGAGCGGTAAAGACATATCTGGCGTGATCTGCAACTACTTTAATCTTCTCATAGTCCGGTGTGTGTGGGAAGTGAAGAAGATGCGCGTATGGTCTGGTCCGGTTTTAATGACATGCTATTGCTTGCACGCTTTACCGGTAATGAGAGTCGTTCGTCCAATCATAGTTAGGCTTTGGTGTCCATGAAGGCTGAATTTCGTTTTTACGTGCACTAATCACCATGAACAGATTGCTCAGTTGCCACCAAGTCCGAGTGATGCTATTATGCCTCAACTCTCGGTCAAGTTCTGATACTTTCCACCCTGATCGCCGTATAGTAATCCCTCGTCAGATCGTGATTAGACTTTCGTGGATTTCATATGCACGCATATCGAAACACCTATCGCGGATGTTTTGCTTTTCCACGGATTTCTGTGGACAATGGGTCCATTATTCCTGCTATTTGTTTCCTCAGTTGGTCTGCCAGTTGATTTCGACGAATATTACTAATTATCTAGCAGAATATAAAGGGTTGTGCTTTACAACTGTGTGGGACATGCTTATACGAATGTGAGAGGGTTTATAAGTGCTCAAATATATAAAAAAATAACCACAGAAACATGTTTTCTGCGGACTTTCACTTCTTCGAGGAGAGGGGTTCTGGAATGCAACCCCTGCGAGCAAAGAGGGATAACTGCAATGCATTACAGTCTCAAACGCCATTTCAACTCAGCAGCCTCGCAGATAATGAAGATTTCGGCAGATTAGAACTCAACCTTTATGTAGAAAAATAAGTCAAAACCGTGAAAGGACGTATGAGCATGATTTCGCCAGGATGAAAACAGCCGTTGAAGAAAGTTGGGCTGTGAACTCCCTACGAGACTGTGGCGCGAAAGGAGGTTAGGTCCGGTAGGGGGAGAAGGAAAAATCTGTAGCGAGACCGAGTAAAGAGGACAGCTTCATTTTGGGGTTGGAAGCCGCTGACGCTGACCTTCTGTAACAGTCCTTGTTTGTCCTGATCTCGCAGAAATGTGCATGGTCCGGTCGCAAGCTAAAGAGAGTCCAGAAAATAACAAAAGAACATAAAGGGTAATTAGGAGGACGGTAAGATGGGTTCCTATAGCGGCACACACACATATTTCAACCCGGCAAAGTGGAAACTGTCACATTTTTTGCACAGAAGGAAGAGTTGGAAGAAGCGTTCAACGGAAGACGGAAACAATGCCGACAGGCTCCTCCGAACTGGACCACAGTCCAACAGTTTTACAGAAGGGTTTTTAGGGCCCATTACAAGACTTCGCGCCTGGATATACGGGTGATGCTAAGACTGTTTAGTTGAACAGTCGCTATAGGTCCATAGACACTAGGTTTCTGCTGGTAAACCTGCACAGCACTTGCAATAATTCCAAATCTCACACACGATCTTCGTCGAATTCCCACGAACAGGAAATCCGGCAAACTGCCAGCATAGCTATGTATCCTAGTGAATGTACTAACATAATTGGGGGCGGAAACATGTACAGTAGGTGAGCTAACTCATAAAATGTCAACCGAAATTTCGAAATGAATTCTCACATATTCGGTAGAAAATCGCGTCTTCTTCCGATTTTATACTCGAAGGAAGGGTAATATTTAATTTCCAAAAACTGTTCCAATTCCCGAATAATTTTGAACCCGTCTTGCTGTTATACTTGTATCCAGGGTTTCCAAACTACAAGCCATATATTTTCCTTGTATGGAAAACAACAAATTTTTCTGCTGTATTAAGAGCAGACTATATAGGGTTCATAAAATTTGGCATTGGAGTTGATTGATATTGTTAGTTTTACGAGCCACATTGGTAAATGCAGATACATGACGTTTAATGAACGGTCATTTCACGGTATTAAAGATCTTACGGTTGGGATCTTTTTAAAAACCAACTTATACATTTCTCTCGAGTATAAAATTGGAAGAAGACGCCATTTTCTACCGAAAACGTAAAAGGATGAATAGTTTTATTCATGTTTTCCATGAAATATAATGTAATTTTCAAGGGCATAGAAAATCAATGAGGAAATTGCATGCTACTTAAGTAGTCATTTTTTGCAGAGTATATTTCTTGCATGTAGTCGGAAATAAGTTCATCCGAAAGCCGATATCCTGTGGTAACTGGAGCATTATAGAATTATGCTACATGATGATTACTTTTACAACCCTACTTAATTAATCTTTCCGAAACGAGAACGCATGTCGAAATTTCGGTTGACATCGCATGAGTTAGCCCACCTACTGTATATCACCGAAGATATGAATGCAATGTACACGCTCACGACACCTCGTGGACCAGAGAAGGACAGTATGTCTTATACGGTTTTGGTTAGTGACAAAGGGCGTCAGTAGTTGACCCTCCGTGCAATCAAATTTGCTCCCATTGGACGCAGCAAGCAAAATTTGGCGTAGCACACCCTCCGACAGGCAACTCACGTTACCGTTATTAGGAATTCAAAGATGTGTAGACGAGTCATCTGTGAAAGTAAAGGTGTCACTGACTCTTGCTGAAGAACTCAACGATGACAATTTGCCTCGTTAAGACAATAAAGCCACGTTGCTAGAGTAAGTGTTCTCAGATACCAACGCCTAAGAACGAGGACTCTACACATGATTTCAACATTTACTGTGGAGGCAGAAGAGAGGGTCGATCAGAGGTGAGCGCCAAGCACCCGCCTCGTATGTTGACGGTGTGGGAAACAGCCGTAGGGTGTGAGCGCATCAGAAGGACGCCAAGGCATTTACCGTTATCAGTAAGCCATTTTTCCACCGAAGCGGACGACTCTTTAGCTGCAACGATTACCTCGAAAAACGAGGAGGCAGTCCTTAGATAAGCCTGTCATGTTTACTCAGGTTAAACTGCGTGCAGCTTGCAAATTGCTAACTAAACGGACCGCTGTACACGGTCTGCAATTCGATGCAAACAACGACGGTGTTCGCTAAGTCCACAGAAAGAAAGAACCCACAGGGGAGCAAGACTGGCTAATCATTTCCAGTAAAGGTTTGCTACAGTAAGGTGCGTTTTTAGATAATTACATGGACCGTGAATAAACGGCGGTTGTCAAGGGCCCACAGCATGAAAAAACCCTTTGTAGTTAATCCTATATTACGCACAGTATTTCCTGAGAAAGACCTCTGAAAAAGGCCTCTAGCCTATAATTCCTACTAGCATAGGGGTCAAAATGCATACTGTTCATGACAAATAAGCTTTAGACTGACGAAAAGACCTCTTTTGCATAGGGAAGTCCATAAGTAAGTCGAAGACCGTCTCAATTCATCTGAAGACAACGTTTTTGGAGGACCTGGATAAAATCTGACCGAACAAAGTCAAATTCTACGCTAATGTATTAGTGGGTAGAAACCACTGATTCAACTAATAATACACTAATTTCAGAGCTCGCGTTTAAGTAGGTTGAACGTGGTCGACTTCTCCTCCTACACGAATGTGACTACGCAGATATGTGCAATAAAGCCCTATCAGATAAATTCGCCCGTTTCAGGCTTCGGAATGAAGATGGCAACAGAAGCCACATGACCCTCGTCATCATGGTCGGACATTCTATGCATCCGGCAACGCCCCGTCATGTTCGCAGTAGGAAGCAAGACAGCCGCTGTCAGTTCAAGGCGGTTTGAAAAGACGAAAGCTTGAGAACGTTTCTGTATCTCAACTAAAGCCGTGTACTGGGATTTCTAAAGATGTTTACAGCCGAAGTCATTTGCCTTTGCACCAAAACCTACCGACAAGCACTCATACGAGGTCCGTGGATAACACAAGAGAGTTAAGTGTGGTGTTTTTTATAATCGGTCATTTACATTATTCAAATCTGCCAAAACGCGGAATAATAAAGTGAGCCTGGTAGGCATTTGATGAATTCTATACTAACTACTTAGGAAATGCCGCCTCGGCAGACAGGTTACTGAATCAGAATTGGCGAATTCCATGCGTTATAGCCGGTTGAGTGAGCAAGTTGAGCAAAAGATCATTAAAATCATGGTTGCCGGTCAGGGCATCATAGCGCACGTGGTTAGAGAGCGTTGGCTGTGCTCAATTCTTGCTCTTACTGTCGAGCGTTCGAACCCTACCCAGATCGCGGTATTTTTCAAAACTGGATCAGAGGAATTAGGTGTGAATCTCATAGCGAGATATCTACCACCCACCAACCTCGAGTGAGTGCCTTCCTGAATGAAGTGAATAATAAACATTCATAACGGGCACGAGGGTAAATCAGTCTCATTCAGACTTGCCGTGAGCATCAGCTTGTGTAGATGGAAGGGGCATTGACGGGTGACTGGTGCGGAAAGTTGAGCGTAGAAGATAACAATCTCCTGCAACAACCTCTCGTCCACATACAGTAGGGCCCGGTCCGATGAGTTGGTCAGTATCTAGGGCAGAAGAGGGGTAAAAGGACTTCCCCACGGGGTGCCTACCTCCGCCAGAAAGACAATCAACGCGGGCGAACAGGGCAGTTGGTCTTCATCGTAGTCCTCCAGCTGCAGACTCTCCGTCACAACTGAATTCCACACGGTGCTCTCAAGTCGAGCCACTGGATCAAAGGGCAAATAAGGAAACTCAAGGTCGGCGAGTGTTCGGTAGGTGTGCTAACTCGTGAAATGTTAACCGAAATTCTGGAGTGCGCTTTCGTTTCCCGAAAAGCCTGCTTAAGTAGGGTTGTAAAAGTAATCATCGTACAGAATAATTCCATAATAATTGAGCTACCACGAGATGCCGACTTTCGAACGAACTTCTTTCCTGTTGCATGCCAAAACTACAGTCTGTCAAAAACTACTGCTTAAGTAGCATGCATATTTCTCATTAATTTTCGACGCCGGTAAACATTCAATCATATTTCATGGAAAACATGCATAAAAGTATTCATTCTTTTGCCTGTTCGGTAGAAAATTATGCCTTCTTCGAATTTTATACACAAAAGGAAGGTATAATAAGGTTTATAAAAACTTTTCCGATTCCCGAACAATTTTGAACCCGGCCTGCCGTTACACTTGCGTTCAGGGTTTACAAACTACAGGTTGTGTATTTTCCGTGTAAGGAAAAGCACACATTTTTCTATAGTATCAAGGGGAAACCATATGGGGTTCATAAAATTCAGCAGTGGATTTGAGCCATATTAAGAAATGCAGAGGCACAGTGTTTTATAAAAGGGCATTTCACGGTCTTAAAAAATCTCATAATTAGAAACTTTCCAAAACCGAATTATACCCTTCCTTCGAGCATAAAATTGGAAGAAAACGTAATTTCCTACTAGATGAGTAGAATAGGGAATATTTTTATGCATGCTTACCATGAGATATGATTGAATATTTAAGTGCATCGAAAATCAATCAAAAAATAATGCTACTTAGGTAGTCGTTTTTGCAGTGTGGTTTTTGCATGCGGTCGAAAAGAAGTTCGCTTGAAAGTCAGCAACTCGAGGTAACTGAATTATTATGGAATAATGCTGCAAGATGATTACTTTTAAAACTCTACTTAAGTAATCTTTTTGAAACGAAAACGCATTTCAGAATTTCGGCTAACATCTCATGCGTTAGCACACCTACTGTAGGCGTGCAAACATTAAATAAGTTACCTTCGCTAGAGGGTAGTTGACGGCGCACAATTCGGAGCGCTTTTCCCAGTAAAGTCATTGTGAGAAGTCGCAAGTCCCTGAGTCTAATGTCCGTCATGTTGGAATAGAGAGCAAAAATCAGCTATAAGAAGAAAAAAGTTACGAAAATAGGCCTAATCGGTGATGCACATGAAGAAGGGCAATTTTGGCTAGCCCGCATGAGTGAGAATATATGTTAGCAACAAGGAGCCCTTGGACAGCAGGTGGGTATTCTACACTCTACTGGCTTTTCTTATAATTGATCTTGAACTTGAATCTTCGGTTGAGAGTTCAAAAGTGTTCAGTGGCCAAGACCACTGCTACTATTTCCTTCGAGCATGCTCCGTTCTGCGTCAAGACAGGCTTCGGCGATCGGCGGAAGGGCATCGAGCAAGAAAGGCACAAAGAAAAAAAGCGAATTGTGGCTTTACTGGTATTTGAAGGCAGGACTATCATCATCGATAGGTTAGCTCCAGAAACTACGTCAGTCAGAACATTCGTAGAACACTCTTAAAAGATCTCCCCTGGAGTATAGTTGCAGTAGAGGTCTGCGTAAGGTTCCCTCGACAAAAAAGTCGCCAAAGGTTGCTTGGGCGCGAAAACTCAGTCGGCACGGGTAGTCTTAACGGGAAAATATCCCGAATTTCAATTCGTTGAGTAACTATTACGAATATAGTTCGTCTTAAAACACAGGCAGGGTGTGGAATTATGGGGGGGTGGAGTTGATATCAGTCATTTTCAGGGACGGGGTGAAAGCGGAGGGGCGCGGAGTTACATGGTTAGTCGACTTGACCACGGTAGGTGCGGAGACAGAATGTGGTTCTTCTGCGTGCATAAGATCGGTTTTCGTATTCCAGTGGTGGCCACTTCTGTTACGCTATCAGACGAACTTCAATCGACTTTTCTAGCCACTGACATGTTTTAAATCCTACTCCATTCCCATATAAATGTGCTGGTCTGGTGAGGATTTACCGAAAGCAAACGTATGCTCGCAAACTGGTCTTCTGAATACTGTCAAGGGAATTTCCGCAACTCTGAAGTCAGTAAGGCTCTTAGTCTGGCTCGTAAAGTCGCCCAAGATGCGATGACGCATGGGAGACCGAGTCAGACTGGGAACTTGCAAGTAAGGACTCAGGTTCACAACGACGACCCACGAAGAGAATAACGAAAGACCAAAATTTCAGCGCCACATTGATGTTAAGTGGCAAGCTAGCAGTCCTCATAACCCTGTGTCATCTTAATCACCTCTGGAATGTACCCACGGAAGCTGTGGCAAGACCAAGAGCGTGTCGGTGGCAAACGAATGCATCAGCGCAGGACTACGTGCTGTCATTGTACACCAGTTCCGTGGCACACACGGCTCACGATAAGGCCACGTAGCTAAGGCTGTTGGCTGTACTCACGTCTTCTCCTTGTTATCGTGGGTTCGAATGCAGCCGAGTTCGCCACGTTTTTCACCTTTGGGTCAAAAAGAATGAATAACTCGTGAGCAAAATGCCCTGTAGACCCCCGACGCCAAAGACACATGGCGTTGGAGCATATGTTGTCCACAAGGTCAATATGGCTGACGCCTACAATGGCAATGAGCAAAAATGGGCACTGCTAAAACTCCCCTCTACGGCAAGTAAGCGCCACACTTCAGTGAAAGATGACTGAGGCTGAGAAAGGTCCCACGGTCCGGGCAAGCAATTTGTGAGCTTCCAAAGATTTTTTTGAAAGGAGATAGATCTCCAACATCTACTGTGCCAGACCGCTCTCCATCGCAGTCTTGCACTTAAAAAACCGTGAAGATGACTTCGAAGCCAAGACAGTGGTTCACATTTGCAAGAAGACGATATGTTGGGTGAGCCCATCCGAGTCCTTCCACTGGTTAGCTACAAGCGGCGAAATTGTGACTAGTCCAAAGCTGTAATCATTGCGAAATTCTTGCTTTGACTGCTACCAGGGCTGGAAAAACTTTCAGAACAGAAATTCGCGCACTTACCATGCCCAGCAACCCAAAATACACTTGTCTTAAAAACGCACCTTCGTGTAGAAGCCTCGTCCGGCTTCTGAGGTGCCATCAGGCCAGGGCGAGTAAAGTGCTCCCTCACCAGGCATTGGAGAGTTCAAAAGAAGGAGGGCAGCGGCGCAAAATGAGCGTCTCGAGAGCGTGGCTGCACACGACATTCCACAAATGGCTTGTAGTAGAACATGCGGTAGCTCGAAAATGGCCTACAGGCAGTAAAGAGGGGAGGAGGAAACATCCAATCAAAAGCTCCGGAGTGCTAAAAGGTTTGTATGGAGGCAAAAGTTGCCGGACAGCGAAGCACGAGGGTAAACGGTTCAAAGCGCCCTCCTGATCAACTGGAGGCAGCCTAAATGGAGTAGTGACAGTTCAGATTGCCGCTCAGCCAGGCGTTCAGCATCAAACCTACTAAAATACATGAGTATGGAACTGATACACCGAGGAAGAACAAAGTGAAATGGGATAAAACTGCTAGGGTGTCCGATAAGTGTCCAGGATATATTTCTAGCACAACATGGGAAGGATCCGTTTTCCTAATCAATTAGCCTGGCTCGGTAACACGTATTAAAGGTACAGTAGATACCGGAGTTGTCTCATAAACGGAACTATCACGACATTGGGGGTTTCACGAAAGCCGAGTTCGAACATCAGGGCCCGTTCATACAAGCCCAGCAAAATAACCAATAACCGACCATTACTATGGAGACCAGCCCAAAAGACAACCTAAAATTCCTGGAACATTCCCTAAAAGTTTCAAATGTGCCTTCAAATAGAAAGATGAGAGAAGCGTGTTTGAGGTACTGACTGGCATAAAACGTAAATCCCATCAAACTTAGCGGTCGAAGAACCAATTGGAGGAGGTTACGCGGAAAACATGGAGTACCTTGAATGAAATGGAACTTTACGGTTTCAGTAATGGCCTAGCTGAAGGTTATGTTAAGATCCTGTGACAATATAGAGGTCAAATAGTTTTTTTAACGGCGAGGTTTGGCTCTGCAGCCCCACCTGAGTGATGCCATACGGTAGGTTTCCTGAAAAAATCTAGTAGATACGAGTACGCTGACTACGAATATCACGTATTTACATCTTCCTTACTATCTTAATCCAGCGAGTGACTTTGCCAAGTTGGGGGGAGCGCTTATACGCCAGTCACGGTTACACCAGGTATCAGTTCACATGCGCTCCCCTTCACGTGCTTCGAGCCCTCCGTGCACCCTCCTTATTATCATAATCCAGCAAGTGGTCAAGTAGACTTGCTAATGACATTGTTCGGATGGTGTGGAACTCCGTTGGTACCACTACAGTGGCCATGAACTGCGAATTGCCACGCGCTTCCCTCCGTGATTGCGCCCCCCGTATCCTAATAAAACAGCGAGTGTTTGTGTCGGGGGTGAGTATGTACACGCCACCTTCACTCGCTTCCCTGCGCGTGCTTCAAGTTCTGCTTGCGCCCTCTTTCCCTTCCTAGTCCAGCGAGTGGCTAAGTTAGGTATGTTAACTAAAATTGTTTTAGTAAGCTAACCATATGGCATCAATCAAGTGGGACTGCACAACCAAACCTCGCTTCTTAAACTTTAGATGGTTACACCAAAGTATGATTGACGCTATAACGTGGGACGCAGCCGCCTTCTGAGAATTCTTATTGGTTTTTAGCATGTTAAGGTGTATTGTGAAAAGGTCGTGTTCACAAGAAGAGTTTCTACTGTTTACTCTGTCCAGCAAGAAACCGCATCAATGTGTACAAAACTGCCGAAGGCTTAGCCCAAAATAAGTGGACTTATAATTGTGGGACAGATTGTCTGGTTAAAGCTACCATGGATTGCAACCTCACATAGTAGAATTTTTAAGTTGTGTGAGTACTAGTAAGTAGCAGTCTGTTTCATGAATTTCGGCGTAAACCGAGGCTGGCAGTTTGAGAACTGCGTTAGCGATCGTTTCTTTATTAGCAAGGGGTATAGTTTCGGCCAGTTTGTAATTCTTACGCCGCTTGCGTTGGATTGAAACGGTAGATAAGTCGGGAGTGTCCCGAATAAATGGTTTGTCATTTCACCCTCCTCACCAGCAGGGAAGAGGCATGGACTTTTGGGTCGCGAAAATGCAACTTAGTCTGGCACACCGTGATGAGGGTGAAGAATTCATACACGGTTACCATCCCTGCAGCCCACCCTCAATAGATCGTTCGATAGTTAGCTAGCAACAGGTCTTTTTGCTCTGACAACTTCCTGTTCCAGTTTCAATTTCAATACCTTTAGGAAACATCTGGAGCCATGGGAGGCGCATGTCGTGCGGACGCGAAAGAAATTAGAATGACCCCACGTAAGTTGGATTATATTCATTAAATTTTACTGTGCCCTAGCTTATCCACCTGATGCTGCCGCAGAGTGTAACGTGGTTCACCCAAGCTCTGCGAGTTCCCTCTGCTTGAATGTAGTATTCCAATTTGTAGAGAGGTAGTGGGTCTAACGTGAATTATCGGTACGCTGGCAGTCAGGGGAAACAGAAAGTGGGGATAGAGTAAAGGGCGAGGTAGCGATCGGGTGAAAGCCCTCAAGCATCTGTGGCATATAAAGAATACCTACTACAGTTATTTAAGTAGGTTTTATTCCATCAGGATTACTTCGGTTTGATGTTTCATCGTATAAAGTCGGGTCGTCCGTTGTAAACGGTTTGATGCATTACCTACAATGACTTCAGCTCAGGGAGTTGATAAGCGACCATTGCGGACGGTTTGGTGCGTTACCTGCAATGACTGAGAAAAGTGATACTAGGTCGCTCCGACCGAAATAATGAGCGAATATGCAGGAAGGGGGTTAGGAGAAGAAAAACCTACAGTCGCACCAACATCTCCATTTGCTCTAGCCTGCTGGTCGATCTCGCCACGACCAAGAAGGAGAAGGGCACCCAGACAGAGCATCTCTTCAACCAGCGGCTTTGTAATCTTTTGAGACTCTGCGTATGCAGGCCAGGTGGCTTCACTACAGGCATCGGGGCCTACAAGCGTCAACGGACACCTGGCTGCTTTCAGGCGACCTTCAACTACTGAACAGACTACAAAAAAGAGCAGCAAAAAGAGGTTATAGGCCCATAAGACAAATACTGTGTGGGCATTAGAGTGTGGGTTTTGATAAACTGAAAAGGTAAACTATTCAAGCACAAACAAGTGGCACATCAGCAACAACTCAAGTGTTCCGTGCTTGAATGGCCTTGTTACACGATTTATAATTTGAAATCACTAGCAGCGTATGTAGTGAGGACTGCGCTGGCATTTGGGTTTTGAGGTTAGCTCAATCACCTGTGCGGCGCCGTCTTTCAAGTTTTCTAAAATTCTGTCAATAGTTGAGGGTTGTTTGGTTTTTAGACGATCATCATTTCAGTTGTCTCATCCAAAATGAAAACTATTTGGAATAATTAACTGCAAGCATGACATATAGTCATATCGGCGCAACCTGCCACTCAGGAGTTTACCTAAGGTGGAGAGCAGCGACTGTAGAACAAGGAGTTATAAAACGTGAAAGTGGGAAGTCATCAGGGAGGGGAGAATAAAAGGATAGCAATTGATTTGCGCTGATGCCTTCTCCTACGAGGTTTAGACCCCGCTGTTGAATGCTATCACGGTTTCTGCAACTGAGGAGCCGGGTGGACCTGGTGACGTGGTAGGAACTTTCACCCACGACACGCTGTGGAGATGGCTACCAATCATAGCTGAGAAGCTGAGTCCATACCGCCGTGTGCAGGCCCCCTGGCGTTCGCAATGAAACATTTTAGCTAAGAGTACAAAACGTGGATTCAAGCTTTCCCGTGCTACCGAGCACCATTACTTCTCAAATTATAGTAGAATATCAGAGAGTAGGTAAGGCTGGAGAGGCAGCGGCACTTCCTCCTCTTCTTCTTCTTCTTCTTCTACTTCTTCTTCTTACTCCTTCTCTTCTTCTTCTTCTTCTTCTTCTTCTTCCTCTTCCTCTTCTTCTTCTTCTTCCGCCTCTTCTTCTTCTTCCTCTTCCTCCTCCTCTTCTTCTTCTTCTTCTTCTTCTTCTTCTTCTTCTTCCTCTTCTTCTTCTTCTTCTTCTTCTTCTTCTTCTTCTTCTTCCTCTTCTTCTTCTTATTCTCCTTCTTCCTCTTCTTCTTCTTCCACTTCTTCTTCTTCTTCTTCTTCTTCTTCTTCTTCTTCTTCTTCTTCTAACCTACAACTGGCCTTACTCAGAGACGCAACAGACGTCCTCTTGAATCCTATGGAGACGAATTGGCAGACGAACCCAAGAATACATGATGTAAAGTAGTTGATGGAGCAAAGTCAACAGAACGCATGTGAGGAAAGGGACTCCTCCTATTTCGCTGAGAACAATGCGTTCAGCTCTATTTTAATCTTGGCTATCGTCGAGGGCAAAAAAGTAATCTGTTCAATAGGTAACCAGGTTTCAGCGCGTTAAAAAACGCTGAACTTTTGGAATCCTTTCCCTGGCAATTGAAACACCGAGGTCGTACACAACAGCCTGAACCAGCAGAACTCAATGAAGGGTTCAGTTGTCGCCTTCAGTTTACTCAGCGGTTCATATTTTATTAGTTAGGAGTTAATTTAACCTCCCTTAGTAAAAATATTCATGTTGCCATGACCTATCAAGCAGTTTTGAGAAGTGCAGTTTAGCAAAAGAACAAAAACGAAGTATTAAGGCTCAAACCCAAAGCAAATACGCTATAGACTGTTAGGGTAATGAGCTTCGGCTCAATTCCCCCAAGATACTAAAACATCCAATCTCCAAAAGGACCAGACTTGACTGAAGACTTCCTTCTTATGCTTAAAAAGCCCATCGCTTACTGCCTATCCCTGAGGCGAACGACAATGAGGGCAGAAGGACGCAGTACCCACAGACTATGGGGTTACTCTCAAAGTGAATTTTCACAAACAGTCAGAAATGTCCTGTCAGGAGATTATTGTACAACAGGCAGGATCGACGTACCCTGTGGAAACACTGGGTCTTCTGAAAGGAGGAGGCATGTGTTGAGGAGGGAGAGTAGAGGCACGGCATCTCGTTTAACGTCACACTTTTCGTCCGTTATGAGGTCAAGCACTGAAGTGAAGAAGGTATCAAAAGCAAAAAGGCTACCTTGAGAGCGTTCATATGATTAAAAACAGATTAGCACAGCTTAGAATATTTAAAGTCGTGATTGTACATGCATGTACAACGTTCACATGAAGGTGGATATCGCAACGCAAATTCGTAAATACCTACCCTTGCGATAGAAGAGCCTTGAATATGAACAGATGGATTTATGGAAAAACTATAGCCCAATCGACCTAAGCGACGGTGTCCTCCGGTATCACAAGGACATAGCGGCGACCTGCACGTGAACTGAGGTGAACTCGCAAAACATACCTAATCCACTTTTCGTCTTTCTAAGAACCCATTTTGCTCTACTGTCAAAACGAAGTGAAGACGACTGGGTGTGGGGATGGGCACAAGGTCCGACAAAGCTAAATAGACCGTCCACGAGTTTCACGCACAACTTGGTCTCTAGCTCCATGCGAGTCAGGCTTCAAGGGGAAAAGGGCTCCCAGAGCTTACGTGAATGAGGAGAGAGTAAAGGTCACGAAAGAAGGGGTCATTGAAGCCTGACACAGATTCCTGAGCAGGACTGTTACTCAGCAAGTCTCCCAGTCAGTTGTGATGGTTAAAAAGTGGTGCTCAATCGTTTCCACTGAGGAAGCCAGATTATGAACCTGAGTTGAATGATCTTCATTTTCGGCTTCCTTATCAATGTACTAGCGATCTGTTCTAGTCGAACAGACTGGGCATGGGATGCAGAGCAGTGGCAGTTAGAGGTGCTGCACAAAGACACATTAAGAAGGCGTCATTATTAGCCTGGTCCTCGTATCAAAATGAGGCGGATTTAGTTCAGTCCGTTGGCAACTTTCTGAGCTAGGAACTTTCAGCGCGTCGTGACTTGGAAGGCAGCCGGTGCTCCTCTCGGGACGGAGGGTCTGGCCGCAATTTCTCCCTAATGTGGCCTCTAGGGTACTCCCGCTCGGATGGGATCGGACCCGGGCCCTTTGTGTTTTTTTGCGAAAACCAGGTCCATCATGCGTGGACCAGGAGTGCCTCGTATGCTTAGACGGGCCGTTTGGTTTTGTTAGCCCGATTCCGCCTCCGGTCTCCTCGGCTCTGTCTTGACACTGCGCCCAGAAGGGTGAGGGAGGAGAGAATGCGGTAGAAGCAGCGCAAATCGACCTTCACTATACACTAGTTCACGCGCAAGCTGCCGTCCTTGCAGCAACCATGCTGTGGGACACAAGGCTGACATGGTCTGTAACGACGGTAGAAATGTCCTGCCGTATCTGCACATATTTGACTAAAGTGCGTGACCGATCTCATGAAATTTTGGCCGAAATTCTGAAATGTGCCTTCGATTAGGAAGGATTACTTAGGTGGTTGTAATATTGATTAGAGTGCATCATAATTTCGGACTCACCAGGATGTCTGCTTTTGGATGCACTCCTTTCTGACCTTCTGCAGAAACCGCAATCTGCAAAAATTTGACTACTTAACTAGCATGAATTTTTCGTATTGATTTTCGATGGTCTTACAAATTCAAATATATTTTATAGAAAACGTGCATAAGAATATGCCTTCTTTTACTCGTTCGGTAGAAAGTCACATTATCTTTATATTTTATACCCGAAGAGAGTGTATATTAAGATTTTAAAAAACTTTCCAATTATGAGATCTTCAAGACAGTGCGATGTCCATATAAACAACATCGTACATGTCCGCTTGCCAAGGATTCTCATGAAATGTACAACACAGTGCGGATCCATTACAAAATTTTATGAACTATATATGCTATCTGCTTAAAGGCATAGAGGAATATATGATTTTCCTTACGCGGAAAGCATGCACCTTGTAAACTGAAATCGCTAAACGCTAATGCAATGGAAGATCTGGATCAAAATTATTCGGGAATTGGAAAACTTGTTTAAAACCTAAATATACACTTTCTTCGGGTATAAAATGTGAAGACAATGTGATTTCCTACCGAACGAGTAAAAGAAGGCATATTCTTGTGCACGTTTTCTATAAAATATTTTTGAATTTGCAAGACCATTGAAAATCAATATGAAAAATGCATGCTACTTAAGCAGTCATTTTTTGCAGATCGCGGTTTCTGCAGGTCAGAAAGGAGTGCATCCAAAAGCCGACATCCTGGTGAGTCAGAAATGCTATAGGATTATGCTGCATGCTAATCAATATTACAACCCCACCTAAGTAATCCTTCCTAATCGAAAACACATTTCAGAATTTCGGCCAACATTTCATGAGATCGGTCACGCACTGTACGTGCACTGTACGTGATTGAGAAATAAAGATGGTTTTGCTTACGTGTTTCCACGGTTCGATGAAGGCAGAATCGATTTTGAAAGAGGGCGCTGAGATTTGTCACTGTCGCCAACATAGACAGAAACTGACGTCGGAAATTGTCTGTGGGTTTGGAAGTAGAAATAAAATTACACATGTAAATGTCCAGGGTTCAGCATGTCCTGACATGTGACATGGTTTTTAGTGCAATGACTGTGTCAGTAGCGTTAATTTGAAAGGGCAGGTGGGAAAAAGAGTTTGTCAGTGTAAGGATCAGGCAAAAGACCACTTTAACGACAGCGTCTTTAGGAGTTAAGGGTCAGCGACGTGGAACATAAGCGGATAGAAAGCGATGCCCGGACCGAGAGGATTACAAACGGGTTGCTTTGCAAACCATCCATGAAAAGGCAATTTCTGACTTTAGCCCTTGAAGATAAGTAAACATTTTTTTAGCCTGATATGGTGTCAATCGACCTTGTTGCAGTACGGATTATGCGCGTCCCGTTTTGCCTTGGAATTTTAGCTTGGAATCATCGTATCCAATCGCATAGCGCCAAATGATGATCCCGAATGCCGGGGAAGAGAAGGAAGAAGGGAATGTTCATTTCTAGCTACGCTGGTTCATATGCCTCATCGCAGGAACGGTAGTACGGGACCCGTGGCTTGGCGGTAGGGCTCTGGACTTCAAGTCCAATGACCGAGGACCCCGAGTTCAAATCTCAGGCTACCCAAGCCCGGAGCTAAGTTGGCCGGAAACCACCGTCATAGTTGCGTTTGTCTTTGTGAACATTCATTCTGCGTTTTATCTTCTCTAGTTTGTCGAAATAGATTAAATGTCTGGATGGGAATGAGCCGAGCCAAGTCGTTCATGGAGAGAGGTTTCAATACCCAAGAACGAAATGCTCTACAGAAGACTATAAAAGATTTCCCTCGTACAACTGACCCCTGTAAAAGTTCGGACATGTAGTTCCTGTGTTCTAGCGGTCTCCAAATTCCTTACTCAAACAGGTTCCTGAGACTCCACTATTAGCTTTTGCGGTCACGGTTACAGACCTTTCGGCGCCGGACAGTAAACAACTTCAAAAATCCTCCTTTTTGCCGTGAGTTTAACATTTTTTTCTTAATTAAAACTTGCCCTTCTCCTCACCGTTTTTGTAGAAGAGGACGCTGACTGGAAAGCCCCATTTGGTTGACAGGGAGGACAGTTCCTCTGCAATGAAGCCAGCTAGTTTTGTCTCGCCTGCGCTATCCTGGGAGTCAGATTGCTATAATGACCAAGAGAATGGCAGACCTTAATATTCGGCAACTTAAGACGAACTGATGTAAAAAGAATGTAATGAAAGCTGCCGAGGAGTCCACGGTTAGAGCAGAAATAAGTTGCGATTAGATCTTCTTCAAACTAAATTCAAGGCAAACACACTTTAGGTCTAGAGACATACATGCACTTTTTCCATTATTTTCAGTAAAACAATGATGCAGGTGAGAATGAGAATGTGTGCTAATAAAGGCGTTAAAAGGTCTCCTCGGAGAAGGGGACGGCTGAGCGCTTACCTTCAGGGAATCGAGGCCCGTCGTAAAAGTTTCCGCAAGTCGGTCGACAACGTGAGGTTCATCCAGCTCTCCAAGCACGGTAAACCAGACGGTCTGAAAATTCCAGAAAAGCAGGTTTTGCCAAGTCAGGAAACAAGGGAGTGGAAGAACATCTCGAAGTGTGCGATAGTGTCGTCCTGTTCCGAGTCATGTTACTTTATAACTCCGCCTTGATCATACTGTCAGCGGTATCAACGCTTGCGCGACAACAGCAGAATGATGGTTTTTTTAAAAAATGTCCGTCAAACGGAGGACCCCTTACGCCGGCAGTTCGACCCGATCTGAAGGATCTGCTTTCTGGATGCGCAAATTCCATGTCTACTGGGATCTCTAAAATATCTAGTTATCAGACTCTTAAAACGATCAAAAGCGCTGATTCTCTTGAGCCCTCTTAACTAGAGGTAATCAAGGAATGTAATTTACAAGGAAGAATGAATGTCGTCAGAATTACTTTTCACTACTTTCTATTGTTTGCCGTCAATCGCTGCCTTGTACCACCCGTTCCGACATTTGGAGCAATTGATTCCTCGTCTAGTGCATTGGTTTAGATTTACAAAGAAGTGTATAAGGGAACTTCAAGAAGGGGCTGCCAATTTGATTTCATAAAGCACATGAGTCAGGTGACGGGGGTGGTACGTAAAAATCTGCATAGCCTTCAGGTGGTCGATAAAGAATAGGCTGGATAAGTAAAGTTGTCACAATCTCTCAATAGGCCCTATCAAGTAAGCAATCAATTCTGCTCAGGACAAGCTGTAAGTGGATTCTTAACTGGAATCCCTCTTGGTCGAAATAAAAAAATTTGAAACAATAACTATGACGAGCAGAGGTTCCACCGTTGAGTGTTTCATGTGACTGCGGACCGTCAGGTTGGGTGAACGATACTCCCACCAAGAACCAATCGCCTGAGAGAAGGGGATGTGTCATGGCCATTGCGCTGAAGAGCGAATAAGAAGAAACTCACCCACACCAGAGAGAGGAACTCGTAAGTGGTAGGGAGGTTCTTCGTAACTCCCGATAGTATCAACTCGGTGTTCGCATGTGCGTGATAAATCTATAGAAAGTAGAATTTGGATTACCACTAAAGCTAAGAAGTGTTCATATACCTTATTTCCTGGGTTTAGGACAAGCATATACAGCAGGATTTATTAACATCGAAAAGTGCAACAAATGGTTTTCAGTGGTTTCATGTCTGCTCGGAAAATAAATACCAAGTAGTAGGTGCGTAGCAACCGAAATTTATCCAGGAGCCACATAGAAAAATGAAAATGGCGAAAAGGGTCGTCTCGAGATTGGAATATAAACATATAATGACGTATAAAATGGCCCACAAGAAAGGGGGTAAAGGATCAGCAGGGCGAGGCCACATTTATCACGTGATTTAGCTGTTTGGAAATGTTTAATTTTGCCCCCCGTACGTAAGCTGTGTCCAAGTAGCAGTGTTCCGGCTGTTCGTGCACTTAGCAATAAATCCTGCTGTATAAGCTTGTTTTAGATCTACCCCAGAACAAAATGCTTTAAGCTTTCAGACAAACAGGTCCTTAGTCGTAGTCTAGCAATCCATACACCGACGTCAGTAGTATAATCTTCAACAGACCTACATTTGACGTATAAGTAAACGTATTTTAATCAGCATCAGAAGTCGCAATGGCTGACTCCTGATAGGTTTTCAGTTGAAGTCGCCATAAATGCCAATTCGGAACCGTATGAAATTAAATGCGTATAGCACGTGTCGAAACACGTGAAAAATTTACTGAATTCTATCGAGTCGCCCCAAAATACAAGGGGAAAGTTGAGTGGGGTCCCAGAAATTACTGGCTGGGGACACTTATCAAGCAGGGCCTTCAGGGACCAATAAGACGCCATCCTGCCGTCGCAGTATGTGCGGGCTGGACAGCGAGTATCGTCTCTGTTTAAAATATGATGAGGCCATCTTACACGTATCATCCTTGTGAGAGAGTGTGCTGCCAAATCAGTACTGATAAACTAGACGCATGCGCAGGCCCTCTTCGACACTTCATGGGCTAACTTAGGTAAGTTTTTACATCTCAGAGACTAGTTACAATTTCCAGTCAGTTTTACGCGAGTCTTAGTATGTATTTCAATTTGCAAACTAACACTTATTACTGCTGGCATAGTGTCGAGGAAGTGAATTCGACCAACACAGTGTACACGCAGAACTCTAATTGGACGCTTACCGTCTTCTGGGCGAAAGTAATCCACACGGGGTCAGCCTGGCAGAGAAAAGTCGAAAAGCCATCCAATGAGAGGAGGATGTGAGTGTGGTCACTGCGAAGGCGGTCCAAAAGAGCTTTTGCCAGAATACTTGAGGCTACAGTTGGGACCAGTAATAACACAAATAAATTCAGGTAGGAAGGAACATGTTGAGAAGATGCCCGGTGAATCGTATCTAGAAGGTTGAGAAACTAAAATCTATGGAGGCAACAATTGTCGCTTCTTTTTAAAAGTCCACGAAAAACGGTGTCTACACTAGAGAGGAGTTAAGTTATTTCACAGCTGATCACAGATCTTTCGACAGCTGTTACAGAGGCCTGAGGCTGTTTGAGTCAAAGATTCCTGTTCTTAAACCGATGCGTCATTGTCGCGAATATTGTCTACCAACGTAAATGCAGATAAAAGTGCACTGCGGACGAGCAAATCGGCGAAGGGTATTAAAGGACTGTATCCGAATAATAGCATTTATTAGCTGTAGACCAGAACAAAAAAGGGCGAGGACTGAGGGCGAAACTTTGAGGACGAAACAGACCAGCAGATTCTAGGTGTAAATGCAGCAGTCCTGTGCGTGTGGCGGGAACCAGGTAGTGCATGTGTGGCCTATTTAGCTCTATTAGCCACTGCGCCCGATCCAATCAGCAGTTAGCAAACAGACAGGGACAGTTGAATTGTGCATCGGGGAGGAAGGAACGAAGGAGGCTAATACTGGGGAGTTCATCCCCATGACAAATCAGTGCATTTCTCACTATAACAAATCTGAAGCGCTTGTATCTACCATGACGCGCAAAGACTTGTGGCTTAGATGGTTGCCAATTAACTGGATAAATTGATCCTTCTCAGGACTGAGGGGTAGACCCAATAACTCCTTCCAAATTTGGTATTTGAGGACCCTCACGCATGTGAGATCCGAGCCGCCCCCACGAAAAGCTGGAACATACTGTGGACGCCAGATCGTGTGTGGCACACGTAGACGGGCTGCTTAATTCTGTCAGACACCGCTCCCGAGCCCACCGTCGGCAATCTCGACTGTGTCCTTCCACCTGAGAAAGGTTGGTTAGGAAAGAGAGAGGGCGGTATATGCTGCGCAAGTCAACCTCACTATAAATTGGCTCACGCGCAAGTCACCGGTACTGTGCCCACTCCATGGGGCACACGCTGAACGCTGGTGCTCACGGCAGTCGGACTGCCGCAAGCTGATCTGACCAGAAACAGCAACATCGAATACCATTAAGGATAACAGTAGTAAATACATTTTATACAAATTAGTAAATCGGACCGATCGCACCGAATAACAACTGATGACGGTTAGTCCGTCAATATTAACAGGTTGAGTGGGATGCGGAAAGTCCGCAATTCCTGAAGCTGTGTCTAAAGATCGGATTTGCTTAGATAAGACTTGGCTTTCATAAGCCCCAAGAGATATTGGACTGATATCCTATAAGTAATGAAGGGTAGACGACTGAGTAAACGCACCTTGAAAGGCCACAGGAGACATCCCGACGCCACAGGAAGAAGCAATCTGCATGGAAGATGAGTCAGAACCCAAATAAAAGCACTGACAAACCGATAAAGAGGCCAGGAGTTCCACACTGAAGATAGGGGGCAGTTTCCGAAAGTACTCAACTCCGGCGCATGCAATTTGGGCGCACAGGCGGGAAACTAGCTGGAGAATCGTTTCACCCTCGCTGCAAGGACAAACAAATTTAGGCGTACGAAACAGTGCTGAGCACTTCAAAGCACACTAGAAATCAGCAGTAAAAAGCTGCCCGACCGGAATCAGTTCAGGGGTTCTGATGGTAGCGGAGAGAGTAGGTGCGGGATAGTCAAACAAACGCGATACTTGGGAATGAAGAGAGGCAAAATGCATCCGGAAAAGTTTAAAATAGGGGCTAAAACTCGAGAAAAACTGATCGATGTCTTCATGTGATGGCTTACCCACTACAATGTCTACTAAAGTTTTTAGGCCTGATTTTGGAGAACTGAAGTTCTTACCAATCAGTGAAGGTGTTGTTAGCAATGGCTATTAAAAGAGACTGTAAATGTCTCCTCGGCAGGACACTTTACTATCGCCTCCGGGCTTGAGTAGGCTACCCGACCCAGGTCTAGTCACCTAAGAACAACCTCTTTGTTCTTCCTAGTTGGAGGCACAATTGGAAAGTTCAGGTGACATTATCACCTGAGAATCCGCGTCTATCGTGATGGTGTCCAGGCAGGTAGAAAATTAGCGGCCAAGGGTTGCTTAATTTGACCATTTTCTGAAGGCAGTTGCGGATCCCCTGTGCGAAATCAGACGTATCCATACCAAAATGTCTGCTGTCACGGTGGAAACGATTGTGAACGGCGAGGAGTCTGTACGAACCCATGGTCGTGGTCGTCCATATTGCCGAAATGTGAGTAAATGCGCGAAAAGGAAGTAAGAATTAGGAAACTGGTCACGACTGGAACTTTTGTGCAGAGCCAAGTATTGTCCTGCTATGTTTAGCCGTCCCTTTTTTGACCTATACCATTTTTGGTGGCTTGGAACTTGATAATTCGCTGCTCGTTTAATGCGTTCCCCAGAGTAGTCTGGTCAGAGGGGGGGAACAAAAGTGTGCAAGTTTCAGCTGGTCCTCAGTTATTTCCTGGACTCCCGTCTTATGCGCAAGCGTTTTAGCCAGGGGAATGATGGTGAAAAAACAGCAGACAAGAGGACAAATTCCCGCCGTCTTGTCCGTTTGAATAAACGTCATTCGCCCAAGAAATTACATGTAGCAGTTCAACGTCGGGCTACTTTATTTCATATTTCTCACATACTGTTAGATCCATGGAGGAAACTTCTCAGGTAAATAGTAGTTTCGTAAGTTAAACTATTAGGAAGGGACACGGCATGTTAATATTTGCAGGCGGAGGTAGCGAAGCATGCGTTCGCAATAGACCTGCAATGCAGCAACAAATACGCAAACTATCTGGACTAGCATTTTTGAGGATGGGTAGTTATTTACCACTAGCCAAACGGAGAACAAGTGGTTTAATTCTATGAACACTGACTGAAAATTCATCCACATTAGAGTAAGGGGGGCAACTGGCAAATAAACCTTTTCAGGTTGACTCCAATGTTGTGGTTGCCTGTGGCGGCAGTAGCAACATGTGGGGTGCTTAGACAGTATTTTGAAATACCTCCTGTATTAAGAGTTAATGTGGCACCCGCCAATTTACTCATTATTTATTATAAGTTCTTTTCAAAGTCACCTTTTTAAAAGACAAAGACAGCAATAAGCGGTAAAAGATACATTTTCAGTCAGGTCATAAACCGGGGTCGAAAGAACTCGACCTTCGTAAGTCGGAAAAGCTTTTATTCTATCTCTGACATCCCCATGCGTTCCCTGAAGGTCTATATGGAGCATTGGCTTTGCGATAAGGAGGGATACAATCCGACCAAAGTATGTCCAAGCATTTACCTGTCTGAGGTGACGCCTGCAAGTCTTGTCGAAAAGTCTTCATTCGATAGGCGTTGATATCTGTTTATCAAGCAGGCAGTGACAGCGAGGAGTGCTGGACACATTCGGCCAGCGTTTGAAGAAAAGGTCTCGACCGGCTGATTTTGAACATCGTCCAAAAGAGCGCACAGTGTTTCAGTGGAAGTGCCTGTGAGAGGAGATGAATTTAAGGTAGAAGTAGATGGCACCATGAATTGCATAGAAAGCGTTTGCGCCACACGATACTCAGTTCGTTGAGGCCTCACAGGAGTTAGTTGAGGCTAAAAGTAGAGTTAGTTACACATGGCACCAGGTACGTATCAAAGGCGTTCTTCCAATTTACTAAACTGGTACGGATCTGTTAGATGTCAAAAAGGCATACCGGTACCTAATAAGTTCTTTGCATTGTCTACCTACGGGCGGGTCATGCGTCCCCACCGTATCTCGCCCGTGCTGATTGCTGGGGTGTCTGGTGAAAAGCGTGACTTGCGCATCCGATAATTAGAGTTCTGCAGAGGTTATGCCAGTCCCTGAAGGCATAATCGATGGTGTTTTTTGCAAAGATCAAGCAGACAAAATACCTCCACCGTGTCCGACAACTGTCTCCTTCTCTTCTAATGTTTTCTCCTGAGAATCGCAGTTTCGCTACTATCGGTGTTACATACACGTAATTTTCAAAATACGACCAGTATTATAACATATTTTAAGACTTTTAAAGAGCCTGATATCCATATCCGTCTGAAGTCATTCTCATAAGTTCGTGTACAATTCTGTATGGTCCATTATATAACTCGATAAATACCGTGATACATTTGGGGAATGTTTTGCAAATAAACCCTTAAAAGTATAAAAACTCAGTTGAACTTATATTAGAACATACACATGGAAAGGGTCAAAATGCAAATACTCTACCTAAATACTTCAAGACTGGGAGCATTTTCTTTGAAGAACGTATGGTGCTCTAAAAATAATAACTGGGCATGATAAGGCTGCTATCAATGGAAAATAGTTACATTTGCATTATTATCGAGATACAAAAAGTATGTGCAGTTGGCGACTCTTTTTATGAGTATATTTTACCGCAAAGGACTAGAAAAACATAATCAACCGACGGCTCACAGGTAACTTCACACTAACTTATATGCGACTGACAAAAAACTTACCGGGAATAAAGACGATTCCATTGAAAAATAACTCCCAGAATTGAGCATACTCCGTGACAAGGTCGGTTTCAGTAGCAGAGTTTCCATCCTCAAAAGTTTTCCAAAAACTGATCAGTCCACTTGCAATAAGGTAGACCATTAGTTGAGAAATGCTATTCACGAATTCGGCGGGATCCACTGCACTGTCTGCCTCAGCTCGACCGCTTTCAAGATACATGAGAAACCGAAAAAATATCACGCGGAAAAGCAGCATTCTAATTCAAATAATTCGCAAACATTGTCAATACAAACTTAAGCTGCATGTGTCGGCAGCGACGGAATCACTGAACATACAATATTTTAGTAAACGACTTTTAAAATATCCAAAGACTTCTCTTCTTGATATGGTGGAAAGAATAAACAAGATTAGATTCCGGACTTCAGTAGTTTGAACATCAATTTTGCAGACACCCCTACAATATTTGGTATTATAATTCCGTCAAAAACATGGACATCTTTCGAGGTTCGACTCCGAACGTTGAATAAACATTTGGGCTGAATACCACTAACCGCAGCAAAATGGCAACAAAACTCCCTTGCCTAAACATCATCTGCGCATAGCATGTTTGACAAATTTTCAAAAGCTCCAAATACAAGAACTAAACTAGTACAGCGATCTTCGACGTCTGGCTGACAGATAACACGCTATAGGGATAGACAAACGAAATTGCCGACTAATCTGAGTCCATCATGTCCATAAGGAACCGGCAAACGGTACTAACGTGAACATTCAACAACTACCAGCTCGATTTTAAACCTCACCGTCCCCTGACCGTGATCGTACGAGGCACCTTCATGAACAAAACAATTGCGGGCTTTAAGAGAAAGTGGACCAGCGGGCGACTTGTTGACTTTGATACAAGATTGTCATTCGTGTACAACAGGACGAAATTCTGCCGAATGGGTGTGGTTGGTTGGACATCCCTGTCTGCCACAGTACTGGGTAAAAGAACATACGTGTGGTTTGCCTAATTTTCTACCGTTGCATGACGCAACTGTGAGGGATTTGGTTCATCAGTGGGTTTCCAATAATGCTCAGTGTCGTTTGTAGATTGCAGTCAAGTTTTTTTCAATTCTAGTTTATGATTCCGTCAAAGTACAAGGATGGATTCGGACTATTCTTCATGGCATATGCCTCGACGATATCCTACGTAAGCTACTAACTTTAATATTATGATGCTGCTGTATTTACTGATAAGAGAAATGAACGTTTATCACGCCGAATTTGACAGTATCCAACAAGATTTATATACACCACCCAACCTTTTTAGCCTGTGGTCGGTCAGTGTCGATGTATGCCAGATCATTGGTAGAACTTATGCTGGTATTAAAGTAAGGTATCGTTAGAAAGATTAACCTAATCTTCACAATGTAAACCTTAACGTAGATGGATTGAATCACTTACTCGTATAGTGTCTCTGAGTAGCGTTCATTAGGTAGGGAGGTATTAGGTGTATCTGCCTGACAGAGATTCTGCGACTTCAGAAGGACGTCAATTATTTCCGGAAGCAAATAAACAAAACATCTTCGGATTCTTTCCTCAAAAAAGCAGTCCGATAAATTTGCTGATTCCCGATTTAGGACTCGCAGTGTACTCCTTCGAAACCCTTTCTTGAGAATTTTCCGAGTCAGCGTTAACAGGTTATAAATGAAGACACTAGGAATATGTTTTTGCGAAAGAAATCGCTGAGAAAACTGCGAAAATGAGTAGTCTGAATACCCATATCTTATCTAATGGAAGGGAAAAATACAGTTCATTCAGCAGCTTGTTGAAGCAAATCAGTTGTTCCATTTCCAACTTCTCTTTGAATAGTTCATTATGAAAAAGGAAAAGAAGGCTAAAAAAATTTCCTGTAATTACAGGTCTTACTTATTCAAATGAAGTTGGATTTCCATTGAATAATTCAGAAAGGAGTCTGTGCCTCCTTCGGTTGCCTTTGAGACTGTGTACTCAGTAGATGTACATGACACAAATTTCTCGGCGTTGAAAGCAAGATTAGGACTGTTAAGCTGAAAAACGTTCTGTAATCTTTGCTGGTACGCACCCAAACAGCTCGTAAACAGCTGAAGAGGGAATGGGCGATAGAGTTGCCCTGAACTTGACAAGTAAGCAATTCCATCATTTACCGAAGATAAGCTAAGAAACATGTTGTACTTTCAAGAAGGTTGGCTTCATTGTCGGCAAATTCACTACGAAGATTGGCAAGGAAGTTCTCGATGGCTGACAGGTTTAAAAATAATTCGACTGATCCGGAGTAACTTTAAAAACAGTCTGAAAATAGGGCCAAACTACTTTCGGAATATTTTCTCTAGGAGAACATTAAGGAGTCTGCGAAATTTCTGACCCTGTCTTATATCATGTTTTGCAGTCAAGACCTTCTCCAAAGCTGAAGAATTTAGCATAAACGTAAAATTACCATAGGCGGCAGAATTCGTTGCCATAAAGTATTTTGAATTCGTCAGCCCAATAAGCAGCGACACAGAATGTCTGTGAAAATCTCCTCATGGAAATTTACTTACGTTGCCACATTAATCTCTTCTAGTAGGCAGTCGTACACAAAATCTGGGAAAATAGTACATAAGAATGTCATTTACCGAGCAATTCCATGCGTAATAGAAACTCAATGAGACGATTTGGTTGGCTGCAGGAAAATAATGTGGTTAGGAACCTCAAGGCAATGATTTTGAGTTCATTTTTTGGAGATGTCAAGTGCATTTTCAAAACAAACGGAAGCTTTTTATGCGTTGTTATGAAATTGAAGGATTCTGGGTACTTCATCAGAAGACGAAGGCATTCTAGAATATTTAGAGATGAAGGCGAAAAACGAACCAAAAACGTTTTCTGGAAGCGCGCTGTCATCGCAAGGCTGACACAGACGATCCATTAACGCGTTGGAACATTCTTTCACTGCATCTATTGTTAAGATCTCTGTGTGTCTTAAGAGCACTCCCATGCAATAAGCTGCACTCCCTTGTATGTCACTATTCCCAACTCTGAAAGTGTTCACCAAATGCTGTAGTATAGTTACTGAAAATCAAAATTCAGATCACACATACTTGGGGCATTTTGAACGACAATGTCATGCTGTTCGATTACATGTGCTATGAATATCATTTCGTTGCATTTCTCAAGAGTAACCTCCTGTACATTTTCCTTGCAGTTCCAAAAACAACACTGTACTTACTGTGTCGGATAGGGGTGACAGTAGAAAGTTTAAAATATTATCGTCCACAGAAATATGTGAAAGTATAAACGATAACGCTGAAGGAAATGTTTGTTTATTGCGTTTACTTTTGACCAATGCCTTCGCAAAAGGCCCTTTTGAGAGCAAGTACTCGTCTAAGATCGGTTATTGTTAAAATAAACGTACTCCAAAGTGTTCGAAACGCTGTTACAAATATGGCTGGGCTTTTGTTTAACAGTGACCGTCTACTAAAGTTCAGTGAACAGAGAGCGAGTTGTGAATGCGCGTAGTCTACGCGTGCGCTAAAACTTTTCTGGCAGTCAGTCAGATACTCCACCAAACAAATAACACAGAGACAGTTATCTGTGTTATCAGAAAGACGCAGTTTAGCATCTTCCCTGTGGACACACACCATGTAGACGCGCGAAAACTAGTCACGTACACTAAATTATGAATGTCGCGGCTTTTTGTCCATCAAATATAAACGGAGGGTATTGTAGGCCTAGTTATTTTACTCTATAATTATGGGGCAGGGGACAGCAGACACACTAGAACGCTGGAGTAGTTAAGGTCCTAATGCGGCATGTGAGGAAGGGAAGAAACCCTGTTTCGAGATAGTAATTCTGCATGTATGAGCTGTCAGGACTACATGATTAGGGACAGCCTCGGACCACTAGCTAAACTACCCTGAACGCGGATTCTCAGCTGAGCAGGTCTTATCTCTTGAGCGAGTTGGGCAGTAAACACAACTTACTCTTTCACCTTCCGTTTTTGTCGAAAAGCTTATCGTATGCATACATACGGCGCTACAGTTCACAGCTACCAACCAATGATTCGAATCGGACATCATGAGTTTACAATCATTTATTCCGTCTTTGCGCACAGTTTATCGCCCCTTAATGCTTGTTGAGCCAATTTTTGAGTAAAAGCCTTTAGTCGTCTCATGTAAATTTAGTAAAATGACATGATTTTTAGGAAAAACTTTTTTGCGTTCATTTTTAAGGATGGTTCCGCCACTCATTGTCAGGCAGTGAGTGCTCTACAATGACAGTTTATTTGCTTACCATTTCTAACGAAGGATTCTGCAGTTGGCTGATGTCCGGGCTAACACTTGGCAGTTGCAGTTCGTCATCTCCCGGGGATTTGGCTGTCCTCGTTTGAAAGTTCAGTCCAGTTCAATTTATTCGAGGGAAAATATGTGTGCATCCCTGAAATACCTATTTGTTTTAAGCAGAGGCAGTACATGAATATAATAAGGATGGATGTAAGATCAGAGAACTACGAAGAGAATATCGAAAGCTTCGCAGATAAATAAGGCATTCCATGCGTTAACAGCAGTTAAGGGTACAGGAACTTACTTAAGTGAGTAATACGACTGTTCGGTCGTCGTCGTTGCCGACGATTTTCACCGTGTGCTCCATTGAAAGGTGAAATAGAAACAGTGACTTACGCGTGAACTAGTTTATAGTGAACGTAGACTTGCAAGGCATCTACCGCACCCTCCCCTCCTCCCCAACTAGACCCGATGTCGAGATAAAGTCAAGAAGACCGGAGGCGAGGGAGAGCGCAGCTGGATGGCTCGGTCGAGCCCGTACCCTGGTGTTCCACTTCGCACGACCTAGTCCACACAGCAAATGACTGGGATTTTAACCAACAACAAAAGGGTGGCTGGCGCGGTCGAAGACGCAGCTAGCCGTGCCGTCACACCCGGCTCGGATCCTACGGAGTGGGAGTGCCATAAATTATATATTAAGAAGGAGCCATTGCAGTCTGCCTCTTAGGCCACCAACCGGCCACTCCACACGATACTGGGACGACCATGAGATTCAAGATATACCGTCAGCTGGTAACCTTCCAAGCCACGGCTTTTGGCGCACCGCGATAGCTTCAAGCGCGTCAGACTTTTTATAGTCAGGAAATGCGCTGGGTCGTCGACCTCACTCTCCCTTCCCATTCTTAAACCCCAGTCACGGTCCGATTCGGTAAGTTGGCAGTTGGGGGAATGGGCGCGATGGCCAACATATCTAGTGACCTTGCTGCGCACGCCACATGCACTACCGGCAACCCCCCTAAACACAAACACCAAGATTTCACACTACGGGAGTTGAACGGCGTACAGCACTTATGAGTGAGATTGCCCTGGGTCAAGTTAAGAAGGAACTGCTTCAGCCTGAATCTCAGCCCATCAGTCCGCCACTCTACACGTATACACACAATTGGGCAGACTGTGTGGATTGAGTCGGGAGTCAGTAAGCAGCCTTCCAAGCCACAGCGCTTGACGTGCCGTGGTAGCCTCAGACTTGAATCACGCATGCAGCAAAGAAACGGCATGGAGGTGGAGCCGAGACGCACACATACCACTTGCATGGGAGGTGGCAGTTAGATGCATGTGGTGGATGATGATGATGTTGCGTGATGTACGTGGAGGAAGATATGATGATGTGGTGTTGCCGGCTGTTGTCTACCGCAGGTTTTCGTGGATGCACATGTATCCTAATAGGCCCATGTAGTAAGTGAGTAATACAGTAGTTTCTTGAAGCACACCGAAGTTGCGGGCATGTAATATGCCCTGAGGTCTGCAAGCGTCATGGTGAATGCGAGTAGTGATGTGCGCCGAAGCTCATTCATTAATAATTTCTATTGGGGGAGAAATCCTGACCGCGCACAAAGCTTGTATGAGGTCACCCAACGCCTGCCTTTAACTCAAAGGAAAGAGATCGAGATTAGTTGATCGCTTATCATAGGGTAATGAGCCCTGTCCAGTTGCGAGTTTGGTCGTCCACCGTTGAACTTTTTCGGGTATGAAAAGGTCTTCAGCCATCCGGGGTCTCCCTTCTTGGGTGGAAAACTGCAGATGCGGTCGCACCAAAATTCGAAGGACCTTAGCGAAGTAGTCTCCATCGAAGTAATAAGAGGCCCGTTTGACGACGTAAAGAACTGACACCACGGACTTGGCTGCATTTGAGCAACTTGGCGAGGGTTTAAGTGAAGTCGAGATCCAAACGCCCGTGTCCTTCTGGGAGTCGACTTCTTACAACGATACGTCAGTCAACAGAGATGTCATGCGCTGTGGTGATCTGGTTCTGCCGACTTGTAGAGATTTACACTTGTTTATGTGAAAAGGCAAAAGTCAGTCATTAGACCATCGTCCGAGTCGGTTTAGGTTGTCTGCAATCGCTCTTAGCTATTTTTATCTCTTAGATTACTCCAGATCTTCATACCGCCGGTAAACATTGCGACATCGCAATCCAGTTCGTTTGCGCTGTCGTTGACCTATACAGCGAACGGAGTATGGTCAAGAACATGGCCTTAGGGAACACCAGAATTAAGGGCAACCTTCGCCGACTGCTGGTCACTGACATGACAGTTTGAGAGCGGCTGAGTAAAAAGCTTTGAACAGATAGCCGCGGTCACCGGTACGCCTCCAGATAAGAACCCAGACCAGCAAATGCCAGTACCGCGTTTGGGATGCATGCAGGTAGTCTTCTTCCACATTGGCAGGTTGAAGAAGTTGTTGATCAGCAGGAGGCGGTGTTTAATGCGGGCTCGCAGATGAAGGGGGTTGTTGTCATTGCAGCAGCCGATTATGTGGGTATCCAGTACTCCTCTCCAGACGTCACAGTCTATCCAGACGCAGAAATTGAAGTCACCATAGACAACTGGCCTGTCCGCTTTCGGTACAGCCGCCAGAAAGGTTGCAGTTCCTCGGAGAACTTGGTCTTCGATTCATCGGAGGACATAGAAGGTAAAAAAGGTGGCGAGTGTGGATCCCTGAATAGATGGACGCAGGCTCATCAGTCAATGGGACTTTCCTTCCCTCACATTTCTTTATACTTACTTCTTTTGCTGGAGCATGTTGTGTTTCATAGCACCCCTCAAATAGCGCTGAATACTTCACAATTTATAGTTTTCCAGTCAGTTGTCCATGAATGCAGATTATGTTCTGTGTCTATCAAAACCTACAAAATAAGACACTTCTTGGAATCGTTCATCAAATTATTGAGTTTTTGGGCATTCTTTTTAAAGCAGATGGACGTTTGGGTCATATCTGTAGACTCACGCAATCGTGAAAACTAATCGCCGAGAAAATTAAATGTCCACATCGGAAATCAGCAATGAATATGCACTGGATCGATTGGGAAACTTTCTCTAGTAATTAACTTCTTTAGAAACAGCTCTTCTAATACAGTTTGCTGACGGTAGAATCGGAGCAAATGTTGCAGCGGTTGGTCGGCTTTTGCGTTCCCCCTAAAAAGTGACAATTTCGCTGATGTAAACGACAGAATCCACTCTTCATTTGATATTGGGCCATTTCCGCCATATTTGTTTACTGTGAGACCCCATTCTAAGATTATGAATGCCCAACAGAGTGGCCATATAATTATTTAGATATTGCTAAGCCCTATAATCTGCCTTTTACGTCTCTTAGTTACACATTTGTGGTAATTTGATCAGAAAAAAACATTATTCTGTATGCTTAGAAGTTATCATAGCCGCTTTGTAGAGGGTCTTTTCGCGGTAAGTTATTAAGTAGCGAGAATGTTAGCATGTTTCAACAAATGATGGTCATTAGGCGTTTTTACCGCGTTTGCAGGAATGCTATTAGTGACCGTAGGGTTCGACAGGTCTGACAATTAGTCTGTTTCAGACGATAATTCATATTGTTGAAATAATGGCTTCATGCTGTGTATATGTAATCT